CCCCCAAACCCTCGCCGGTCCCCGCCAGTGCCGCCTCCGCCACCCAACCCACCACCTCGCGTCGTCCTCGCGTATATCCCCAGCCCTGCAGCATTTCCTCCTTCCGCGCATCACCCTCGTATTACTTGCATCCTGTCATCATCCTGCTCTCCCCCTGCCCACATCCTGCTCGCCTCCAGCCCACATCCTACCGCCGTCACCTGCCCACCTTCTCTTGCCCACCTCCTGCCTGCCTACTCCTGCCCACACAATCTGTAATCATAATAATACATTCAGTGCGAAAAGTGAATTGGCGAGTATAGAACATGCTCTCGTAAATTTACAACTTAAACCAAAATTCTAGTTTACAATTTTTTGGTAAATTTACGACGATATTTTTCACAGTGCATTGCAACTTTTTAAAATTATTTACATGTATCTTCCCACTTTTATAATAGTAACGTAAATCGTATTTACCGTCGCAGCAATTTATTAAACTATCTATATTTTAACACTATTTTTGTACTACTTTTATTTATTAGCACAGCGTAACGTGGCCCCCTTGCCAGTCAGCGTCAGCTCTCTCTGAGCAGACGCCTCGTCTGTCTCGGGAGGCTTTATTGGGTGGCTTGTCGTCGGGACGCGGAAGGGGCCGCGATTTCCGCCGGGATAGTCGTTATAATGAGCAGGTTAGACAACAGACTGACAGACAGCTGACAGGCGGACGGACAGTCAGACGCATCCGACAAAACTACATTCATTACTCCGCAGTACAAAACAAAAGTGTAAATAGCGCAAGAAACAAAGTCTGTGCTCAGCTGAACCAATCTCAAATGTTGCACTGGACGTGGGGCAGACATATTCAACTTCGTGAGGACGCAGAAAACATTTTGCCGATTCCCGAGAGCAGTTTTATAAAAAAAAAAAAAAAAAAAAAAAAAAAACACAAAAAAAACGAAATAGAACGCCAGACGCGCTTCGATGCCGCCGTTGAGATATTGAATGCGTATATATGTCGTCTGAGTGATGGTGTGGTGTTTCAGACGGGGAGGGGTAAGACCCTTTCCCTTGCCTCGTATGTGGTCCGTCGTCACCGCAGGAGCAGAGGCGACCCCTCCCGTATGAAAAAAAATGCCCATTTTCCGTCTTTTGCTAGTCTTTTTGTGAATACCGCTAGAACACACCTAAGCCAGTACCAGAACACCCCTAAAAGACTCCCGCGAGACGAGAAAGAGACGTTTCCAGCAAGCCTTGGATCGCTCTTTGTGGTATTTCAGTCGTGTCGTGGTTGTCTTTTCCTTGTCTCGTATTCGTCTCGAAAACGGTCGATTTCGAGACGGAAACAAGACGACGAAGAGACGGCCGGGCAGATGACCCCGACACAAAAGTGAAGCGGCAGCGAGTCGAACGCAGGCCCAGCAGATTACTAGACTGCGACGCTGCCGACTGAGCTAGACGACTTGTCTTAGAGAAAGTGCGTGCGGCACGAGTCCCTATCAGCCAGCGCTGGTCGGCACTCTATGTTCGTGGACCGCCTGGGACCAGCGCTGGCCGATAGGGAGTCGTACCGCACGCACTTTCTTTAAGACAAGTCGTCTAGCTCAGTCGGCAGCGTCGCAGACTAGTAATCTACCGGGCCTGCGTTCGACTCGCTGTCGCTTCACTTTTGTGTCGGGGTCATCTGCCCGGCCGTCTCTTCGGCGTCTCGTTTCCGTCTCGAAATCGACCGTTTTCGAGACGAATACGAGACAAGGAAAAGACAACCACGACACGACTGAAATACCACAAAGAGCGATCCAAGGCTTGCTGGAAACGTCTCTTTCTCGTCTCGCGGGAGTCTTTTAGGGGTGTTCTGGTACTGGCTTAGGTGTGTTCTAGCGGTATTCA